GAGAGAGAGAGAGAGAGAGAGAGAGAGAGAGAGAGAGAGAGAGACTTTGTGGAAGTGGGAGGAAGAGCGCCTGAAGGTGATTGCAGGGTGCAGAGCCAAGCCTTCAAGCCTTCGTCCTTAACCAGCAGGCTACACATATCCAGAATGCCCCCAGGTCTGCTGACACCTTCAGAACTGTCCCCCATGACTGCAGAAGGATTTGGGGTCCTTCCCTGCCCAGCCCTGCCAGGGCTTCTCCGCCTCTGATGTAAGGGGAAACAGTGATCCCAGCTGCCATCTAATGGGCTTTCAGGTGAAGCGCCTGTCTTAATTCAGCCGTATCCTGGTCCTAGCTTGCCCTGACCCCAAGCCAGCTGCTGGGCTGTGTGAGCCAGGGCTGTCCCTGCTTTGGTGACAGAATAGAAGCTGTCAGCCTCTGAGCCAGGCACCCTTGGGGCCCAATTTCACCCAGCAACTCTCAGAGTGGGCAGTTGCGTATGTTCTCCCAGGCTCCACTGGGGCTCAGAATGCCCACTTCTGAGCTGTGGATGAAAAGGCCGTGAGTGGCCATGAGAGATTCCTCTCCTCTTGCACAGGAGAGTAGGGGAGGGGAGATCTTGTCCTCAGGGAATATGGGTTGGGAGGTGACAGCTGTGGGGTGCTTGAATGGGGTGCGTGGGGGGATTGCACTGAGGGCCCATGTGTGCCCCTGCTCCAGCTCTGGGTTGCAAGAGGTTTGAGAGTTAGTGTTGCGACTCCTACCAACTGTGACCCTCTCTTGCACAGGGCCTGCCACCTCCCATGCCCATCCTGGGCTGGCAGCCAGGGAGGGAGCTGGATGGGTGCCCACTGTGTGCTCAGAGGCCAAAAGATGGGCACCGTCCAGTTGGCAGAGGGACAGGCAGCTGGCCCAGGAGGGGAGAAGTCAGGGTGCTGACTGACGTGGTCGTGTGCCCAGACGGTGTGTCAGGGACAGCGCTTGGCTTCCCTCCTGGGCCTTGAGACTGGAGCCGGGACAGCCCCCTCCTTCCTGCTCCCGCCTGCCTGGGCCGCTTGAACACTGCAGCGGGACCTTGCTCTTGAGGGGTACTGGGATCCTGGCCCTGGCCGGGCTTGTGAGGGCTCAGAGGCAGGCCTGGGGGCGGGCGGGAAGGTGGGAGCGCCCTGCGGAGGCTGCCAATGGGTAGCAGATCAGGAAGTGGGGAAACCGGTTTGTCCTTTGGGCCTCTTGGGGTGGGGTCTCTTCTCCTGGGCCTGGGCGTTCTTGCCACTCTGCCCCGTAGCAAGAGATGCACGGTGCCCCCTTTGTGCCTATCTGAACCGGCGTTAGGAATGCCAGGTGTAAGGAAGAGAGACAGGAGGCTCAACTCAGTTTCCCCTCCCCAAGAGAGGCTGGGGAGTGAAGGGACAGGAAGAGCCGCAGGGAGGCAGCCTCCGGAGCTGGGGCCCAAGGAGGGGTCGCCTGGGACTGGGTCAGAGCTGGAGACCTCTGCGGGGTTCACAGGTAGGCCAAGCCGGGAGGGCAGAGGAGGATGGGGCCCGACTGGCGTCCCGAGAGCTTCCGCGGAGGTGGTGACAGAGCTGCCGAGCGAGAGGGACAGTTTGGGACTTCCCATCTCCGGGTCTCACTCTAAAGAGACACCCCTCCGTGCACCTTGGCGCCGCTGCACTTCGCGCGCGCGCCTGCAGTAGGGGCTCGACCCGAGGCGGGGGAGGGGCACCGGTAGGGGGCGCCGCGGAGCTGGGCCCCTCCGGCTGAGCAGGCTCTGAGAGCCGAGGGGCACGGGACTAGGGCGTCCGCGGTGGCCGAGGAGAGTCGCGAATCTCCCTTCGCAGGGCAGCCGCCGCGCTCCGAGGTCACCTTGGCTGGAGAGGTGCCTCCACTTTTACCAGCCCCGCGGACCCCTAGTGCATTGCAGCCTAAGGCGCCCGGAGGCTTGGAGACCCAGGATCTCCTGCCTCGAGACGTCCCCCTCTCCGGGTGACACCTCAGAGGCGTGATGGAGTCTACCCGGGCGCGAGGACCGTTGGGGGCGCAGGTGGAGGGAGAATGGCAGCGAGAGCGCGCGCCGCACCCGACTGGGCCGCGGGGCAGCCTGAGGGCGCGAGGCTGCGCGGCGCCCCCTCCCCTCCCCCGCCGCCCGCCACCCCCAGCGGCCCTTTGTACCAGCCGGCCACACGCGCGTGCCCGTGGCGCGCGCGCTCTCGTTGCAGTGACACACCCGTGCCGGCCGGCCGCGCGCGCTCACACACACACACGCACGCACACACACACACTCGCTCTCGCACACTCGGGGACACGCCCGCGCGCGCGCGCACCCACACGCCCGGCCGCCGGCGCCCTCCCAGCTGGTGCACCCGGCGGGGCCCG